AAGTGGGCTTTTAGCCAAGAGTTTGACCTCGTAAAAGTGGCAATGGAGAAAAGTATATGAGCAAATTAGTGAAGAGCGTGAACAGACCGGGTCACTCACTCACTTCTTCGAAGAACAAATACAACAAACAAATTATTGCCGGTCGCGCTGATTGTGAGATGCAGCTAAACAGAGCGGAAGTGAGAGAAAAGCGCGTTCTGCGCTAAGAGGGAAGAACAGCGTTGACGTTATAGTGGCGTCGCGTAAGGACGCGCGTTGTGTCGACTGGGAAGTGCGTGATTGCGGCGCATGCACAAGTGGCCCTCGATGCGTCCGTTATCTATGGAAAGTGACCAGCACGACGGCGCCCGATGCGATAATGTAGTGAGTCGGCGAAGTCCGCCGTAAACCGTAAAACCGGCACCGCTTTAATCAAGAGTACAGAGTTAGACAGAGCGTGTGTCTAACGATTTCTGTCTGCTCCCTGATTAAATGCGTTTCACGGCGCCCGGTCGCCTGCCCAGGCGGACTTCGCCGACTCACTTGTGTTGCTTGTTGCTGCGGCAGATCTCAGCGACCTGGAAGTGGCCGTTGTCGGCGGAGCGGCCGACGCCGGCGCCGGCGGGAATAATCTGGAGGAGAAGACGGCCTGCGTCCTGGCCTCCGTGACCCCGGCGCCCGCCACCGACGAAGAAGGTGAGACCGGGATTAACACGCCGGTTCAGTCAATTGCCTACTCTCATTTTTAATTATTGTTATTTTATTTATCCAGCATTTATTTATCAAGGATTTAGTATGTGTTTATTTACGTAGTATTTGATATGTATTTAATTAACCAATATTTATTGTGTGTACATATTTACTTGTTATTTACTTGTTATTGTGTACATATTTACTTGTTATTTACTTGTTATTGTGTACATATTTTACTTATTTAGTGTATATTATTTTTTGTGCTTTATTTATTATCAGTTTATGATTATTATGCATTTATTTATTCGATATTTATTATATTTTGTGAATTTATTGTGTATTTATTTTCGTTGCAGCGGATGCGGCCAGTAAGAAAGAGCCGGCACCGTCGATTTCCACGGCGAAGCAGAACGTGATGTTGTTTACCTGTGCCGGGAACGTCAGCGGTCGGCAGGTGCTGATCAAGCGGCACACGTACGCCTCATTGCGCCTCTGCGAGGTCCAAGTCTTTTCCCAGGAAGGTCAGTCGCAGAAATCAGTCAAATGGACGGATTGTGTAAAGGCTCTTGCCACCAGCAAAAAACATTACGCTCATTTTTCTCCTCGATTTATCGTCCTTGTAACCATCTGAGCGTAGACTGTTTTAACTGAATAAAGAATCTCTGGTCACGTTTACGGCATAAACGGCATCACTGTCTACCGAAATAAATTAACTAAATTAATTGTACATAATTACTCTGTTTTAATTGATAATGTGATTTATGTTTAATTATATTGTTATTAATTTTAAATGACTCGATTATTTTTTTATGTTTTATTATTTTGCTGATTATTATTGATTTTTTTATTAATAATTTTTTATTATTTGTAAGGCGTGGCGTGTCAGCACCCGGGGGCGCCGGCGAACGGCATCGTGAAGCTGTCGCAGGTGGAGTGGCCCTTCCCGCCCGGCACCGTGGCCGTCTACGAGTGCAACGCGGGTTTCCAGCGCATCCCCACCGACGCCAACTTCCACCGCACCTGCTTGATCAACGGCACCTGGGACACGCAGGAGCCCGTCTGCGGTAGGTTCGGGAGCGACACTTTTCGCTAATTATTTAATTTAATTTAATTGCACTGCAGTGACGAACGTGGCGCAGTTCAAGCTGGCGAAGCAGTCGTCCCTGTTCAGCCAGTACAACTACCCGGCCTGGCAGGCCGTCGACAACGACGCCACCTCCTGCGCCTGGACGCGCCGCGAGCGCACGCCCTGGCTGCAGATTGACCTGCTGAAGCCCTATAACATCCACGCTGTCTCCGTCCTTCTCGACAAGGAGCGGCTCTTCCGTAAGCGCAATTTTATTTAACTGTGTATTGCTCATTAATTTATACTATTTTATTTTATTTAATTTTACGCAGTTAGGTGATTTTATAATTACCAAAATTAAATTTAGTTAATTTTCATGCATTTGTTAATATTAAATCAACTCAGAATTAAATTTACACGATTAATTGTGATAAATTTTGCGCAGTTAATTTTGATAAATATTTTAGAATTAATTTTAATTAGTAATTAAAGGGTGCGATGTTATGGTGGTTGTAAAGTGTACGTGGGTTGAGCGCTACTTGTGATCCGACAGACCAATTCCACCGCAACGTGCTGATCAGCATCAGCAACCGGTCGGACGCGCAGCCGACCCAGGCCGGCGTCACCGCCGTCGCCGCCGACAGTCCTCCGCTGTCGCTGACCTTTCGCCGCAACCTGCAGAAGGACGTGGCGCCCGGCTCGGGGCATCTTCTACCTGGACACGCCCACCGTCGGCCGCTACGTCACGCTGTCGGCGGTCGGGAGTGCCGACAAATTCCTCGGCGTCTGCGATCTCCAAATCCTCGCCAGCGACGGTAAATAAATTTTATTTTTTTTAATTATCTTCCTTTTTATTCGAATAAAAATAAGAAAAAAATATTTTTTATTAATATTTAATTTTAATTTAATTTTTATGAATGGACAGAAATGCCGGCGAGTCCGGAAGTATGCGGACTGCAGACGCCGGCGACGGCGGCCGGCTTCCTGCACAGCTTCAAACGGCAGTGTTTCCAGACGGTGCGTTTCACGGCCACCAGTTGGGCCAACGCCGCCGTCTCCTGCCAGGACAACGGCGGCGCGCTGCTGGTCAATCCCGACTACGACACGTCGCTCTTTTTAACCAACGTCCTGAGCAACCTCTACCGCTTCCACACCAGCGACGACCGCTACTGGATCGGCGCGCGCCGCAATGCAGACGACGACAAGTGGGTGTTTAGCGTGCGGAATAAGACGCTGCCGGTGGAATCCACGTACTGGGCGCCGGGACGCCCGGCGCCGGATGTCGCGGCCGGGGAGGAGCGGTGCGCGGCGCTGGGCGGCCAGGGCGTCGGCAATTGGGCGTGGGCGGAGTATCGGTGCGATCAGGAAGCCAACTGGATTTGCGCTTACGGTCAGTCAGTTTAAACTGAATTTATTTAGTTAAATTCATCTGTTTTATTAAATTGTTATTCAGATGAATTTATCATAATAAATTAAATATAAATTAAATTCAGTCTGTAAATTAAATTAAAATTACAGCAATTAAACTCATCCATTTAAATAAATTTTTATTAAAATAAATTGATCAGATTAAATTCAGTGAATCAAATTAATATTTTAATAAATTAGGCCTATGCGAGTTAAAATAAAATTAATCCAGAAAAATAAAAAAATCATCCTCCGTCCGCAGACCAAATTAAATGAATTAACTGCACAGGAGCGAAAGGTTGCGGTGACCTCCGCAGCCGGAAGCCTCGGCGCTGTTAGTGGCCGACAAACTAGTGGGCGTCAACGGCTGGAAGGTGGGCGACCACGTGCAGTACGAGTGCGCGCCGGGGCACTTGTTGACCGGGTCGGCGGAGCGGCTGTGCCTGCCGGACGGGACGTGGAGTGGCCAGGACGCCGGCTGCCACTGTACGTGACACTGATCTCGCATTAGACACGGCGGCGCATTAATTCCAATCGTTGAACTTGTTGCAGATGTGTCGTGCGGGGAACCGGTGGCGCGCAGCCACTTACTCGTCGTCCTGCTCAACGGGACCGCCCACGTCGGCAGCCAGGCGGAGTACCGCTGCGCCGACGCCGGGGCGAAGCTGGTCGGCCGCAGTGTGGTGCAGTGTCAAGCCAGCGGCGTCTGGGAGACCGTAGACGCCGTTTGTGAGACGGGGTTCGCGCGGGTCCCCATGGAGGTCAACAGTCCGCTGCATCTGGATGACGGGATGGCCGTGGACGGGGACAACGCCAGCCTCGTCTTCCCGGGGGATCTGGCCGCCGTGGGCGTCACGCCGGGCGCCGACGCGAAGGGAATTGGGGCGTCGGAGAACGCCATGGCTATTGGCGTCGGACTGGGCGTGGCGTTGGCGCTGCTGTTGTTGGTCGCCGTGCTTATCTGCTGCGGACTGTAAGTGTGAAATTCTGCTGGTCAACCGACTCAATGATTGGTGATCGTGCTTTGCAGCCGGTACCGTCGGAAGAGCCAGTCCGGCGCGTCAACCCCGCCGTCGACTAAGAAGCGGAACTCTCCGTACGGCACCCTCCGACGCCTCCAAGCCAGCCAGATCTCTTCCCCCATCGCCGTCCTGCAGTCGACCAACCCCACCAGCTGCTGCTCGCCCAGCCCCAAGACTTCCGAGACCTACGACACCCTCACCCCGCAGACATCCCTCTCCGGATCGGCGGTCAGCGAGGCCGCCTCCTCGGAGACGACCAACCGCGACAGCGCCACCTACCTCAAATCCACCCTGGGCAAGGCCAGTCTCAAGAAGCTGTACACGGGGACACTGCGGGCCTTCAGTCTGGAGGAGGCGCCCAACCGCGAGCGGCCGCGCGTCCCCCAAGCTGGTGATCAGTTCGCCCATCGAGTGCCGCAAGACGGTGGTGGTGGACGGCGGCCGCACCGCCACCGAGGTCATCTACGCGCAGCCCAAGAAGCCGGGCGGCGCGGGTGTTGGCGTGCCGGAGAACCACTACGAGTACCTGGAGACGGCGCGGGTGCACGGCGGCTACGGGAACCCGCTGGACGCGGGGCTGACCGGCGAGTACGCCGACACGACGCTGCGGGGCGCGCTGAAGGACTACCTCCCGGAGGAGCTCTACGACGACGTCTCCGCCGCCATCCACAAGTGACCGCGCCGCAACACCCCGCCGCCCATTCCGCGCCGCTGCCTTGGTGACCCGGCCTTTCCGCTCACGTAGTTTACTGCAGCATAGTCTTTTTTTTGTGGTGTTTAAATTGATACTAATATCTGCAGCTTTTTTTATCGGTGTACAGAATTTTATGCACGATGTCGCTGACGTGTTTTTATCGTCAACTTTTACTTCAATTGAAACGAGCAATTAAACAAAGCGGTGTTCAAAGGCAAAACAAAAGACATAACAAAGTAAATAACAGAACCGCATAAGGTGTTGTCTGGCTTTTCCCGAAAGATCAAACAGACATAATAAATCGGAAAAAATTCAAACACAGGACCGCAGTGACTGGTTCCGGCCGCCAAGAGCTCGCGGAACGAAAATTACGGGGTCTTCCGATGATGAGGATGATGGTGTGGTGACAGTAGGGTCCTTTTCCGAATCATCATCATCGGGTTCATCCGCATCCATATCCTCATCTTCTTCAGCTACTGGGACGGGGTTTGGCAGACGAACGTTCAACCCTTCCATCTCTGCATCATCCAGCTCCTTAAGTTCCTCCACACCAGCCATAATTTTGCCCTGGCCGTATCCCAAAAAATTCGCCAACGTCTGATGCCCAGTTATAATGTTAATATTCCACAACGCTGCAGGAAACTGGATTGGATTAGGATCGTCCAGTTTTTTCAGCAGCTGCTGTTTCGGTTTACCGGCAACCCATGAGACCAGACGATAGACTGCACGTTTCCGAACGTTGACGCGCCAAATCGTGCACCGGTCGCCGGCGGCGGATGACGCCCACAGTTCCGTCCACTGGTATTTCTTCATTTGGTCAAACATGCCCAAAGTCCGAAATCGATCAAGCAGTTGGTTTCCGATCCTAGTGCGGCGTGACTGCCACTTTAGCATGTCCTGCGCTACATTGCCTGTCGGACTGGATGTTCTCTTAACCAACTCTTTGCCCGCTTTGGACTCATGGATCCAAACGGGGATCATCTCTGCTCTCTGTTCCGTCCCATGGGCTGACAGCACGATGCACAAGTCTCTGGTCTCTACGATAAGGGTGACAAGCACTAACACATACATTTAGGCGGCCAGAGTTATACAAATTCTGGCTTACGTAATTCCGGTCCATAGTGATGCTGAGGCGAAGGTGACAGGAGCGGGTGCGGGATGCCGTCCTTCCGAATCAACTCCCCCAAATAAACATGGAAGAAACCGTTTGTGTACTTTTCTCGCGTTTCATCCTTGAGGAACCCCAAATACGGCTTTGCATTGTCCGGGAGCTTGAGCGGAGGCTGAGAAGATAGTATACTGTAGGTAACGTTGAATCTGCGCTAAACCTGCTTACCATTTTCGTGGATCGATGGATGGAGGGATGAATGGATGGATGGTTACAACCGAGAGGGTCGATATGCGAAACAAATTATTGCCAAGATGTTCGTAACTTTTTTAACGGCAGTTTATTCGGTTAGTATTTGGTTTGCTGAAATGAGATTATGACAAAACGCAGTTGGCAACTGACAAAACCAAGTCACGACATGACGAAGCGCTTCTACGTGCGGTCATAGCAACTACACTCGTATTGAGTGCCAACCCAGGGTGGGACCTCCATGAGTAGTCGATGGTCGTCATGGTTGATGATGGGTCATGCTGCCTCTCCCTTTCCGGCACGGGATTGTACTCGCCTCAAGACTCAGACTCACCATGATTCAGTACAAGACTCCAAGACCATCAACTTTTGATGACTGATCGACCACACCATCACACACTCAAAAATGCACTAATACAGTGACTTGCTCTGAAAAACGTAGAACTTTTTGTTGAACAGACTTGAACTCAATGAACTGTATTCCACTTCTGACTTCCCTAATTACATTTATACATTTATTAGTGATTTACGTTTAAGTAACATTTTGAACTGTTTTGTTCTTTCTAGTTTCTGTGATATTTTTGTGGTATAGCGTTAGCATATGCAAAATGATTATCAACTATGTGGAAGAAAAAGCTGTAAATTGTAATAGTTTGAAAGATAGTGCCTAATGGCCCATCATGCCCCATGGCGAAGCGCGAACACCCTCATTCTGCACTGTCAGCTCGCGTTGCAGTCCCTGGGTCACGTCGAATTCCAGCGGCGCCCCAGAGAGCAGTTTTACAGATACGCACTGTGTAATGAGGATAAGTGTTATGTGATGGTTTTGCTTTTACGCGATGTGGTGGCTCCCGGAGATGATGGCGAGAGAAACGGAGAAGGATTCAAAAGAGCGCAGCGCCGCAGGCTAAAAGGAAAATCTCCAACGCCATCCTTACAGTAGCAGGTAGGCTGACAACTCCGTTCAATATTAGTTCATACTTCATGCCCAGTGCTCAACTGCTCATACGTTCTGGATTATTATTAAAAAATGATTTTCCACTGGCGTTGTAAGCCGTTTTTGCGATTTGGCGGATAATTAGATTAATAAACTAAATATTGTATTATTGCTCCTTAATTTATTAGTAATTTTCAGACAATTTTACTGGTAATATTACAGGTAACCAGCATTACTAAAAAAATACTTATTCCAGTTGAGAGCAAGCATTTCATTTTGTCAGCTGTCGTATTATTGATGGCTGTGGCTGTTGTAGCGAGGCGGACGCGCACCTGGGAGCGCGGCGCGTGGCGCGCAAGATGCAGAAGTGCGGCTTCGGCGCCAAGTTCGTGGACTTCAAGATCATCAACTGTCTGGCGGTGGCCTATTTACCCTTCGGTGTCCGCATCGACCTCCTCAAGGACGCCTACCCGCACCAAGTCCAGTGAGTTAGCCTCCGCGGTGTCTTTCTATTTAAAATTTTTTTTATCATTTTTTTAATTATATTGCAGTGGGAAGTGGCCCGTTTCTTGTCAATATAATTATTTTTGATAGTGTTATTAAAATGGTTCTTAGGTCTTTGCCGAATGTTATTGATAATTTGATGATTTAATTAGATTGCATCTATTTTGTTGATATTCATAAGTGTTACTAGATTTAATTAAATTGCATCTCTTTTATTGGTGTGTTAATAATTTAATTTAATAATTTACTAATTTAACTGTGCTGAATTTAATTCGATTTTTATTCAGTTAATGGCGCCGTTCCCTATTTGCAGGTATGAGCCGGACCTGCACCCGGCGGCCTCGTGGAAGCTGCCGGAAGTGGGCGGCCAGATCCAGGTCTTTCAAACAGGCAACACCACCATCACCGGTAATTTGCCTGACAGTCTGTCGCAGCTTCGACGCTGATTAAGCGTCTGTTTATGTATCATACAGCGCCGAACGCGTTGAGTGCGCGCAAGACGCTGGCCAGCATCTACGCCAAGCTGTACGAGTTCCGCAAGCCCAGGGACAGCGTCGAGTTGTCGCGGACGCCCGCGGGAGCGCGCAAGGGGCGGAAACGCGGTCTATCCAGCGGCGAGGCGGACGCGGAGGTGGACGAGTTCCAGGCGGAGCTGAAGGCCTTCAAGCTGGACGGCGACGAGGAGGAGGACGAGGACGACGACGAGTGACTGACTGACTGTTCAACAGCAGTCGCCTCCAGGTTCCTGCTTGCTCAACCCGGCGCCTCCTCTCATCCTTCTCGAGCGTGCACCGCGGCGCCCGGCACTCCTCGTCCTTGGCCGCCCTCCATCCCGAATCCCAATCGCCTCCCGGGGCGGCCAGTTGTGACCCTCCCCCGACGCTGGCGGGGAAGTGCGCCTCACTGATTTGATAACGAGCCTCTGGTTCCATTTGTTTATATTGTAATCTAACTGCGCAGTCGCTCCTATTTATTGCCGCGTTTTATCTAACGTGTAAACAGATTTGTGGTGCAACCGGGCGCCTCGATTTTATCGCCCACTCGTTTCCTCAAATGTCAACTGTAGAGGTTACGCGATGTTTGAAAACCGGAATTAATTAGTACCTGTGGGTTGTTTGGAAGAGGCACTATTTCATATTCGATTTACATTAATTTTTTTATCATTAGTAACTGTTGATGCGTGTTCGGTTGGTTCAACTTGGTTGTAAAGACGCATTTACAACCTGGAATGGTTCTTGTAATTTTTTATTAGTTTTAAGACAAGTAATGAAGAAGGAAGTCATTTTTCGCGACGGAATTCAAAAAGAAAGTGAATGGGGAATTTCTAAAATTGTTTGTAATATTAGCATTACACTGCCGTACCGGGGGGTAGCAATTGCTTCCACTGCCGGAAGTCCGTGGATTTCCTTCATTTGGATTTCTCAGCCTAGAACTGGTCGTCCAGCATAATTTATGTTTGGCAGAATAGCGATGTCAGCGAAAATCGCTCATATGGGTTGGGAATTATGCGTCTAGCGTATAATTGTTAGCGGCTATGTACAAGCTTGTCCGGTAATTTCTGCCGGTTCAAAACAGCGAGATACACAAATTTACGTGTATCTCGCCGGAAGTGTGGCGCAGCTGGCAGAAGACTTCAAGCGGCGGAACTCCGCGGAAATACGCCTTCGTCGAAGATTTAGGATATCTTTTCTATCCTCTGGCCGTCGAGACGTTTGGGACTTTTCGATTGCCTTTCGCAGAGCTAATCCGTTTTGTCGGCCGCAAGATCCGTGATATTACCGGGGAACCTCGATCTACAGCCTTTTTGAGACAACGTTTAAGTGTAGCGGTAGTAAGAGGAAATGCAGCTGCTGTTCTGGATACACTTAACGTACGTTCTAAACTCATGAAAGACTGATGATTTTGGCTGTTTTTTCAATGTTTAAAATTTGAAATTTTTATTAGTGTAAACCCGCGCAGGCGCATTATTATATGAACTGACTGTTGTCGAATAAAATTGTAATTTACGTGTTACGCCAAACGTAGTGTAGTCGCAATCGCTATAGCGCAAATTCCGCGCTAAATTTGTGTTATCTGTACCTTAAATACGACAGAAATTACTGGAGAAGCTTGTATCCCGTACTATCTATGTATGCTGGTTTAGCACGCTGTTTGCTTCAGTCGGCTAACTTGGCTTTACTTCGAGTTGTAGCAAGAAACAAGCAGTCGGATAATATCGAATGGCAAGCAATAAACCGCCAAAAAAGCAAAATGCTGAAAATAGTAATATGCAAAATATCCAGCCAAAGGAAAAGGCAGTCAACAGAGAACAGTGTCGGTATGTGAGCGAGAAACTGAGCATCGTCAGGCGGACACCAAAGAAAGTGGCGCCGCCGCTGCAGGAGATTTAGTACTACTAGAGGAACATCATAACCGGCAACATGACACCGATAGAACTAGTGGAGCAGACTGCAATTACACACGCCCAACGGATCGTCCTGCTGACGAGCGTCGGCATTCCATTCATCCTGGTGATCGGCGCCGATGTGCCACAGCATGTAGTCGCGCTCGTCATAATTCACCTCGCAGCCCTACACAAGCAGGTTAGCTGAGATTGATCCAGCTAAAACAACATACGATGACACTCAACGGCGGTACCTCGACGGGACAGTCGTAGCTGAAGAGAAACGTATCCGCGGTCTCTTCCGAGTCGACGCCGCTGCTGAGGGTCTCCCCGATGCACTCCTCCGTCACGAGAGCTTCCAGTCGGGCTCGCGCCTAACAAGCAGACGGATTAATCAACCCAAGCGCATAAGGTAGCACCGGGGGTATGGCCCGGTACACAGGACTAAATGCCTGTACATCCACGGGAACTTTCGCTGTCGCGCATTCCCAAACGCGTTTTTGAATTGCTGTGCGACATTCTGTAGCGAAAGGTTTTATAAACGTAGCCGGGAACTCGTTTGCGCGCGCAACATCCGGTTGGAAAGCTATGGGTGAATCGAAATTCCAAAAAGTTTCAGTGTATTCAGGCGTACCAAAAGTCTCATTGTAAACCGATCTCCTTCAAATTTCCACATACACATGAAGAGCTGCACCATTTTTTTTAAAATTTAAAATGATTTTAAAAAAATTTTAATTCATTTTACTTAAATTCTGAAAAAAATGGTGCAACCATGGTTCCGTGTAAAAACGATCTTTATACTAATGTGCATGTACGTGCAAATTTGAAGAAGATCCGCTCATAATGAGACTTTTGGTACACCCGAATGCATTTAAACTTTTTAGAATTTCCATTCACCCATAATTTTCCACCCGGATGTTCCGCGCGCAAACGGATTTTAGGCCAACGTATACAAATATTTTGACTATCAATATTATTATCATTATTATTATCGAACGTTGCAACAGTAGCCAACTCCACTCGGGAGACTTTCAAGGCTACTTGAATTTATTTTTAATAGTTTGAAAATTTATGGGATTTTGAAAATACGTGTGATTAACTATTAGGCACTGCGAAGTGCTTTATCATACGGAAAGTGCCGGCCCCAATCCCCCTAAGAAACCTAAGGAAGCTCAAGGAAAACCTAAGAACATTCAGAGAACTTATGAGCAGCAACCTGTTTGGCGGTCTCCGAGTACACCACGGGCTGGCCGCCGTTGAACAGCTGCGGATGCATGGCCTTGATGTGGCGATCCATCATGTGGTCAGCATCGAACAGCTGCTCCCTGCACTCCTGCACAACACAACCGACTCCGCCGCTTGTAACCGAACCACAATCAATAGAAGGAAAATGTACGTACCGGGTCGGCGCAGGCGTGATAGATTTGCGTGGGGTTCGCGCAACGCCGCCCGTGCTGCATCATCAAGTGCGCATGCAATCGGCCGGAGGAATCCAGCAGCCGGCCCCGGCCTTCTTCACTGCTTACCAGGGCACACGCGTCGATCTTGCAGACGTACTTCACTTGACCACCCTGTCAGGCAAATAATTTTTACAGTGCTACCTACTTACGTAAATGCATGTGTAACAGTTGCCAGCAGGCAAGTTTCACTGACCACCATCCGAGTGGGGATGACGATCCTGTCGGCCATGATCTGACTCGGCCACAAACGCGTTGAATCGCAGGTCCACTCTGGGAACGTCTTGCACCTGGCCGTGCGGATGAATTCCCGGTATTTCTGCAACAAATCATCCGACGCTGCTTTATCGATCAGAAGAATCCGCCCCAACAAGACACTTTCACTGCCCTCCGCTTACCTCGCCGGTTTTCTTATTCAACTGTTTGTACTGCGCCTTCGTCATGTCCTCCTTGTACTTTGGATGCTGTTCACGGACGTGGGTGCTCATAAAGTAGCCGACCGGGTCGAACTGCACGTAATCGCAGTCAGCGCCTGAGTTGAAGGCGGCCGGGCAGGGACATGCCAGGTTCAACTGCACATTGCGCAGGCCGTGGACGCCCTCCAAGTGCGCCTTCAGCCCCACAGGCATGCCCGCGCGGAATCTGACACAGGCCTCCACGGCGCCCTCTTTCAGCCCGAACGGGCAGCGAAGGGGCTCGAGCAGTGACTGCAAACGTAAGATGTTCAAGATTACCGAAATCGGGCAGTCAGCGCACAGCGGGTAATTAGTAATGACTCACTTCGATGGTCCCCCTGACCAACACGTGCGTGTCGCTGTTAGAAACCCGTGTCATCATCTCGTTGGGCACGAAGAGGCCAGGGACGGTCTCCTTGTCCGGCCGCCCCACAGCCGCACAGAACGCCTGGACAAAAACAAAATATTATGGGTGGTACGTGGTAAGTGCAGTTTACAGCGAACACCCAATACGTCGGAAACTTCAAGGTGTATGCGCTGCCCACATGCTAACCGTCCACTTTCCACAAGTAAGAACCTCGTCTACAACGCAACCGCACGAGGCTACGGTGCTGTTTGTTGCTAGCCTGAACCGAACCCCAACGCAGCGTTACAGTGAAAATTTGAAATTCACGTTATATTGCGGTATTCTCTTCTTATTTTTAATTATCGCCATCTGCTGCTTCTAAAAAACTGCCAAACATAACATCAGATATTAAATTTGAACAGAATAAAAAAATAAGAGTGAAGGGGCTGTATAAAACACTCCCGAATCCAGACTGATAGCAAACATACGATGTGTAAGTACTTACTCTATTGAAAAACCTTTATTTGGTGCAAATTATGATTAATATTGTATTAATTAATATAATTTTATACTCCCTCATATAAACAAAGTTTTCATAAGCATAGTAATGCAAGCCAAGTAGTAAATAATTAATTTTGGGAGTGGATTAGTGAGTAATTTTTCACTCAGTGGAAAATTAGTCACTAATCTCTCTAGTCACTCACAGTCAGTGGAAAATTATTGTGATGTATTCCCACTGGAAATGTCCCATATTACAGCCTGTAAACAGCGCAGCTGCCTTCCAGGATTTCTTATTTCTGATGCCACCTAGGTCTTCTTACATTTTTCTTAGGTTTCTTATTAATTTCTGGCTGTCTTTTTGACGGTTAACCGCTTACAAAATGCGTCCCCAGCAGTCTGGGAGTTTTTAGACTGCGCTGGCGGTTGCGCAGGCGACAGGGGTAACGAGGCGCATTTTCAATGGGAATACAAAATTAATATGAAACTCCCTAACCTGTGAGGAGTGATTTCCCACTCCCGAAATTAACTTTCCACGTTAACATGATATCAGCACCTCTATTGTACTGTGTATAATTTCACTAAAAGATTATCCTCGGGCCACGGCGCTGAAAGTGTCGTACAGTGTACGGAAGGAATAGGGAAATCTTTATTGCTTAAACAGTGCTGCTATGCTGCAGCGTACAACGTTTACTTGATACGGCAGGAACCTCGCGCAGTTTACTCACCAATTCTCCATTCTCGTCGGCGCTGGCTGGCTCCTGGAGCTCCTGTACAGGCTGCGGTACTGGGTCTCTCTCTTGAATGTGTTCAGGCGACAGAGAACCGTCACTAGCCGAGCAATAGTCGCTCTCCGAAGACCGTCGGGGTCGGTTGGGCACGGGCCAAGGCATTTCGCAGGGTTAACGAAGAAAAGTGCACACGTAAATTCAAAATAAAATTTGTAACAACACAACAGAAAACTTCAGAGAATAATGTCCGACTCATTACAGCGTTGCGATAATATTGAAGTCCGTAATAAGATTTTCGCGTTCGCACTCGCAGCTTGCTTCTCGTTACTCGAGCGTTGAGGGCTCAGTCGATGATCTGTGGAGATGAGTCAAGTAGGCGGGCCCTGGCTGCACCGTGCCTGCTTTGGGTCGGGCGCGCTGCCAGCCGCCTGTGGCTGCAGTCATAAGGCAGACTGACTTTTCACTTGTCAACTGTCAAGTCACCGTCAAGTGTTAACTTTTCTCATTAACAATTAAACTTTAAACATAAAAGTGCTACGCGAAATACTACGCAACTTTGGCTTGCTCTTTTATTTTTTTAATCTTTTATTTTTTAGCTGTCCTCGTGTTAACAGTTGATTAGTAGCAGCAAAGCTGACGATAATAAACGTCAAACGATGAGTTCTTCAAATTTCAAAAGCTCCATATCCAAAAGCCAGCTTGCGCTGTGACTGCAGCCATAGGCGGCAGTCAACCGTGTGTGAGTCAACCGTTGCGACTGTGCTTGTTGCCTTTTGTTAGTTGTGACTTGTGAGTTGTGAGTAACATTCACTGAAGCATTCTCTGTTTTGAAGTGGTTTGGACCGTTTGGTAGCTTTGTGCTTGCAACTTGCAACTTGCGAGTAGTTTTTAAATTTACCTGCACACTCGTAACTCTTCTTCGTTGGCCATGCGAGATGCCTTTGCCGTCGCCCAACCAACCGCGACGGTCTTCAGAGAGCCAGCACTGCTCGGGTAGTGACGGTAGTGTGTCGCCTGAACACATTCGGGAGAAAGACCCAGGACAGCCTGTACAAGAGCGCCAGGATCCAGACAGCGCCAACGAGAACGGGGAATTGGTGAGTAAACTGCGATAAGTTCCTTTCGATAAGTAAACTGCGATAAGTGCTTGGCCCAAACGCCAGCGAAGATGGGGAACTGGTGAGTGGGTAACTCGAGTTTCCTAATCTTGCATAGTAACACGTAGTATAATTCCAACTTTCAGTACTTCTTCGTTGGCTGCTAGTCTGGACTGTTTTACCGATAATCTTGTTTTTTAAATTTCTGTTATTTATAATTCTGTCACAGTCTCACAGATGACGAGACAACAACGTTGAATTTCACTCCTGTAGACTGTACAGATAGTACTTAGCACTTTACAGGAGTTTTGTGAGGCTGTTGGACGTCCGGACCGGGAGGTTGTCCCTGGCGAGGGCGTTTCCAACGAGATGGTTGTGCGGGTCTCCCAGCGCGCCACGCATGTGCTGATGAGGGGGACGATTTGTGTGAGTTGAGTCAGTTGACTGCCTCGCACTCTTCGTAAGGCTCCTAGCGCCTTCCGCTCTGTTTCAGGCATTGAACGATCCCCTGCGCTGTCCCTTCGGGCTGGAAGAGGGCGCTCCAGAGGCCTGCGTCAAGTTCGGCGCGGGCTACCCGCAGTGGCTGAAGGCGCACTTGGAGGCCGTCCACGGAATGCACAGCGTCCAACTGAATTTCGTCTGTCCGTGTCCGGCCGAGTTCAACGACGGTGCTGACTGCGATTACGTGCAGTTCGACCCCTTCGGAGACATTTTGCCTGACCACATCCGCGAGCGCCACCCCGTATACAAGGAGCGCGTCATGGAGGCACTGTACAAACAACGCAGCAAGAAGTGTGGCGCGGTGAGCTACGACTTTGTAGTCTCCACCTTCTCCGTGTCTGGTTGATCAGCATCAATGGCACGATTGCAGAAGCACCGAGAGTTCCTGCTAACGGGCAAGAGCGAGACCTTCGCGGAGGGCACGAGTAATTGCAGTATCCTGTGGCCCAGCCAGATCATCGCCGACAGGATCGTCATCCCCACCCGGGTTGATAAGGTCAGTGCGCGTTATTTCAGTTCGTGACAAAGTGCTTAATAATGGGAAATTTTTTATTCGGGCAATAGCCTATTAACAGAACAGCAAGCCTGCGCTGGTAGATGCTAATTAAAGATTCCGAATTTACACATTGAAGAAACAACCAAAATCATTACTGTCATTTCCAACTTTCGATCGTGCATTTAATGTACCCAAGACAGCAGCCGCATTTCCTCTAACAACAGCTAGACTGAAACGTTGTCTAAGGAAGGCAGTGGATCGAGATTCGCCGGTCAAATCGCGAATTTTCCTACCGACGAAGCGTATCATCTCAGCAAAGGCAGGCCCAAAAGTTCCAAACGTTTCTATTGTCAGAGGGTAAAACATGTATCCCATATCCTCTACGAATCCGTACTTCCGCCGCTTAAAGTCTTCTGCTAGCTGTGCCACGCTGCCTGACTTCTTCGAGCTGGCTTTCACGTGCGACATAGCCACGGTGTCCCAACAGGTAGCATCCCAGACTACCGCTTTTCCATCACGCACGGGTATCAGCGTCATGCCGTCCGGGCGCTGGTTAGTCTTGTCTGACAATCCGGATGGCTCCATCTGGCAAGGAAAACCCGCGGTTTCCCAGACACGTTTCGTTTCGTTATTCAGCTCGAGATGCCGGGACCATCGTCCTTTGCTGCTTGAACATGACAGCCCATGGTGGCCATTAGTTTCTACGTGACTGGCACAATTCACACAGTTGTGCTCCTCAACAACATGAAGGCCGAACCGTAGTGCGACGCCGATTCTAACTTCATCGTCACGTAAAAATGTATGGAGACTTGGTGCAGGGAGAGCATTAAGCCAAGCGCCAGAGTCCCGGTTTAAGGCAGCCAGCAGCACGGCTTTATCCGCTTCGGTGGTTGCGGCTAGTCGAAGTGTTGATACCACGTGATCGATCGCCGGCCGATCCCATGCAGTCTGAAACTTTCTGGCGTTGTCAGTCGGAAGCTCACTTCTGGTCTGCGTCGCCCACTGCTGCACGACAGGTGCTAGATGCGCTTCGTTCGTTGACGGGTAGATGGAGGACACCAGGCTGACCACTGAATACGCCGATGCCAGGAAGGCAGGTAAAACTAGCGATTTAGTGGCTCGAAGTCCTAATCCACCGTCTCTTACTGGAAGCGTCATCTGACTCCACTGCATATCGTTCACCCGGATATTCAAAATGGATGACAAGCCAGCGCGTATACACTTATCCATCGTTTCCATTAACGGCACTTGTTCGTAACATCTCGCTGTGCGAAATCCATACAGCAGTTTTGGTATGAACAGGCAATTTTTGAGTAGATACAGGCTAAAATGGGCTGGGATATGCTTCAGCCGGCGCATGAAGTGATCCAGCTGTACGGTTTTACTCTGCAAGAATATTTCGCATGCTGCCGACGTTAAAGGCGCTCCCAGCAACACTAGGTCTTCTTCCTTCGCGACTACCATTCCAGGAAATGTGTCAAGAACTTTCCGTATGGCGTGCAAGCGATCCGCAGTAAAACTTCCTACGCCGTAGATTTCACATTTCCCCAGATTGAGCTCTAACCCCATTTTGAAACCGCGGGCGATAATAGTGCGTATTGCCGCGATAACTTTATCCGCCTGGCCAGCCAGCGTGACATCATCCAGAAAACCCACCGCAATGTCGCAGTCTAGGTTTTCAAACAGGGGCAGTGAACCAAGTCCATAACCGAGTGGCCCGTATGGATCTCCTTGTTGTACGCCGGTCTCAGAGGACAACTGAGACGAACCGCAGGACAAATGGGAAGGATAACGGTACGACTGCCAGATGTACCGATAGTAGGCGGGAAATCTCGCGAGTGCAGTAGTGAGTAGGACATCCCGACGGAGTGTGTTGAACGCATTGCAAAAGTCCAGCTTCACGACCACTCGGGCTTCAGTGTGTGTCGTTTCCACGTAGGTGCGCACAGCATGCACCGCCGCCTCTGCTCCTCCTCGTATCCCAAAACCGAGCTGCACGGGGTTGAACATTGCAGCTGCTTCGTCAGCGCAGCGACTGCTAACGATTTTTGAAATTAAACGGCGTAATGTTTCCCCCACAGCGATCGGCCGTATCCCGCCGTCTTTCTTGAGTAACGGGATTAAATTGGCGCCAAAAAAGTATGGCCGCACATCTTCGGGGATATTCTTTCTTAACACCATTGTAGCCAGATCGGTTAGGGCTAAGCATAGCTCGCTCTGCGTGTCGTCCTTGCGTACGAGAAGGTCCTTCAGATGCTGAGGGCGTAGACCGAAAACACCTCCAGCGGAACCGGATGGGAAGCTGAAAACTGCAGCCATCATCGCGACTGGAGTGACTGCTGGCGGTGTTATACTGTCATCTGGATCCGCAGGGAACTGGCAGTCATCGGGTGAAGGGGGATGCTTATCGCGCAACAGTTCAATTGTGCGAGTATTTATTTCAGCTAGCTTGTCATCGCCCAACACAACTCTGATTGCCCCCTTTATGTTTCCGTCCTGAAGCATGGAAGTAACTTGGGCGCGTAATCTGTCAGGGGGTAGCTCATCGTGTTTGGGCAGATCACGGCGGGGAACAGGTTGGCGCTTCGCTAGTGACAAATCGGCAAGGTTTTTCCGGATATGGGCGGCGAGAGACTCTCTACGTAAACTTTTCGTCGGAGGGAGCGACAGGGCCGTTGGTGCGAACAGCAACAAATCTATCCAGCTCTCCGATGAATTGTCGCGGGTGCATTTTCTAATGAGTTCCGTCAGTACCCGGGCACACTGTCGACGCACAGCTTTCGGGACTCTTTTCGGGATGTGGTAACGATCGCCCTCTACAAATGACTGCAGCGGGTGTTTTCGAGGTTGTCCTGGTGGAGGCGGTGGAAGCAGAGCAGAGGAGGAGCCCGCGGCATGTTTGCGTGAACATGCTTTGGTGTGAGCAGCGAATCCAGCTCCCTGTGTGAAACACACTCGGCAATGTGGGCAAGGCTGATCGCGGACCATATTACGTGCAAGACAGGAAAAAGACCCACCTAATGCGTCCTCGAGAAGGCAAGATGCCCAAGAAGATTAGGTCGCCGCGAGCAGCTCCCCGTTCCGTGACACTTTCCCTCTCCGTGGTACGGTGTCACGGTTAAATCTTCCCAAGCCACCCTTGTAGCCAAAGGATAACAATCCGCAAGGCGCGCAGGGAAATTTAGCGCAAAATTCCACCCATTCCACCCAGTGAAAATGAATGGTTAACTCCTTTGACGATGAAAATTTTATCAATTGACTTGATGCAATACTTCTTAGTATTTACTCGATTGTCGTCTAACTCCTCACCTTCCTCGACAATGTTGTCCGCCAAGTTCTGCCTGGTTTTGCTCGTCTGCACGGTAAGGTTTTTCTTGATAGTAACATTAATGGGAAATTGTAATGGGAAATTGCTATACAGACTGGGCAAGTGCTGTACATCTGCAAGATCGACGCGTGTGCCGCCAAGGAGGACGGCCATCAAATCCCTTCCTCCTACCACATGTTCGCGCATTTGATGATGCAGCACCGCGGGCGTTGCGCGTCGCTGCCCACCCAAGTGTACCACACCTGCGCCGACCCGGTACGTGCCTTGTCACGAACATTGTTGTCTGTTGGAGACTGGGAACACTGCAAAATTGTGAGTCTGATTCTGTTTGTGCAGGAGTGCCGTGTGCAGCTGTTCGAGCCATACCACCTGATGGATGCGCACATCAAGGCCGCGCATCCGCACCTGTTAGGTCTGGCGTACAAGGAGACCGCCCTGCAGGTTGGTCACTTTGGCAATACGTATACGCGTACAAGGATGTTGGGTATTTCCTACGTAAAGGTACTGCTACTCTGCTAGTGCGAAGTTTGCGCTTTAAACGATGGCCAGGTCACTGCATTTCTCGGGTTGCTTAATTGCGGTCTGCCGTTAGATTGTCACTTACTACACCGACCGTTTTCAACCCGCCTTCCGCAAGGCAGTTACTATTATTCTCATTTAAAATTAATTACTTATCTGGCGTGCACCAAGCCACCAGCCAGCCAAATGCATGTACTTAAGTACCTAGGTATGTGTTTAAGCAGGGTGGCGACGGCGTGGCGCGACGTAGTACGGACGTACGAGTAACACATCAATTTTTGTATTTCGCTGTACTGATTCGTCAGAAATTAGCGGATAAGTTTGTACAATTTTGGCGTGGTTTGACTGAGCCGTCTGGTTGTTAGGAGCGGGCCAAGCTGGAAGCTCTCGTGACGGGGCAGTGCATTGGGGAGGCGCTGAACAGCAGCGGCGACAGCGAGGAATCGGAGGACAGCTATCTCTTCTTCTTCACCTGCCCCGTCCCGGAAAGCGCACATTCTTGCACGCAGTTCAAGCAGTTGCTGGCGCTCGTCTGACTCCTCGTGATGGCTGCTGTTAGGGCTGTCTGGTCTGTCATTCCGAGCGCGACTACATGCTGTGGCACATCGGCGCCGACCACGAAAAAGACTGGAATGTTCAAGCGGTAAATGGTCAGTAACGACGCCCGTGGGGTGCCGCTATGTGTCCTTGCCAAGGCCGACCGAGTCTCCTCCATCCGTCGAGTGTCGATTCTCAATTTCTCGCCTACAGCCTGATGGTGGATCCATTTTTACGAAATGGACTGCCTTTTTCTTTTGCTGATTATTTTTGTACATTTTTTCTTATCACTTTTTCTGTAGTGCATTATGTCGTTGTATGTCCATTTTTGGCGAGCTTTGACCGTTTTTTTGTCCGCTGCTTAGAGTGGTAAAAAAATTGCTATACTTGAAATAAAACTGATATTACTGTAGCTTAACAGAGAGAGTATCTATCTTAGACAGGAAAATGATTTCCAAAGGAATTCAGCCTGCTTCAGGAAATCCTTCACATGCGCTGCGCTTTGAGCGGCCATGCAAATCTTGCTATGTATTGCTGATTTTCCGGCACGCTATTACTGTTTACTTCGTTGGCTTTCCTTTAAGCGTAGTAAATATATTCATCTCAGCGTGAATTTGCCGCATGAGACAAATATGGAAACGCGGCGAATACACAGACAAAAAAGCAAACTGCTAGAAATAATAATATGCAAAATATCCGGTCAGAGGACAAGCAGCTGCTAGGAGAGTGTCGGTATGTGAGCGAGAAATTTAAAATCAACATGTGGACACAACAGACAGTCTGTGCCGCCGCTGCGGGAGACTTTGTACAACTAAGGAGCCATCGTAACCGGTAACACCACCACCCTATACGACACCGCTTCCCGTAGTGGAACAGACCCCGCAACTACACTAATGGACCGCCTGAATCGGCCTGATCGTTGTCATGTTGAGCGACGGCATTCCACTCGCCCTCGTGATCGACGGCGATGTGCCGCAGCATGTAGTCGCGCTCGTCATAATTCACCTCGCAGCCCTACACAAACGACGCCAGCTTAGTTCACCCGGCTAAAGAGGCACAAAGCAAGAAAATCAACGACGGTACCTGGACGGGACAGTCGTAGTTGCCGAGACAAGTATCCGCTGTCTCTTCCGAGTCGACGCTGCTGCTCACCGCCTACCCGATGCACTCCTCCGTCACGAGAGCTTCCAGACGAGCTCGCGCCTAACAAACAGACTATTAACGAACCCACACTCGACAGATAGCACCAGTTTTCTTACACAGAAAGGCTTAATTAAGAAAACCTAAGAAACCTAACAATAAAATAAGACAACTTATGAGCAGCAACCTGTTTGGCGGCCGCCGAGTACAGCACGGGCTGGCCGCCGTTTAACAGGTGCGGATGCACGGCCCGGATGTGCGTCTCCATCATGTGGTCAGCATCGAACAGCTGCTCCCGGCACTCCTGCACAACACAACCGAATCCCCCGCTTGCAACAAAATCACATCAACACAAGGAAAAGCACGTACCGGGTCGGCGCAGGCGTGATAGATTTGCGTGGGGTTCGCGCAACGCCGCCCGTGCTGCATCATCAAGTGTCCGTGCAATCGGCCGGAGGAATCCAGCAGCCGGCCCCGGCCTTCTTCACTGCTTTCCAGTGCACACGCGTCGATCTTGCAGACGTACTTCACTTGACCACCCTGCAAGGCAGTTATCTTTCACAGTGCCCATTAAGTCAATGCATGTGCAGCTGCCAGATTGAAGGTTGCACTGACCACCATCCGAGTGGGGATGACGATCCTGTCGGCCATGATCTGGCTCGGCCACAAGCGAGCGGAATCGCCGGTCCACTCCGGGAAGGTCTTGGTCCTCGCCGTGCGGATGAACTCCCGGTGCTTCTGCAACAATACACCAGGCGCTGATTTATGAATAAGAAGAAAGCGGCCGCAACAAGACACCATACTGAGCCAGCTGACTGGACTGCTCTTGTCATTCTCCTCTCTTACTTCGCCGGTTTTCTTATTCTGCTGTTTGCACAGCGCGTCTACCATACGCTCCTTGTACTGCGGATGGCGTTCTCGGATGTGGCTAGGCAAAAAGTAGCCGACCGGGTCGAACTGCACGTAATCACAGTGGACACCGCCGTTGAATTTAGCTGGACAGGGACAGGCCAGGTTCAGCTGCACGTTGTGCATTCCGTGGACGCGCTCCAAGTGCGCCTTCAGCCCCACAGGCATGCCGGCGTAGAAAGTAACGCAGGCTTTCACGGCGCCTTTTTCAAACCCGAACGGACAGCGAAGAGGATCGATCATGGACTGCAGACGTAAGGTGTTCACGATCATTAAAATCGGGCAGTCAGCGGACAGCGGGTAATTACTAATACTCACTTCGATGGTGGCCCTGATCAGCACGTGCGTGTCGCTGTCGGAAACCCGTGTCATCAGCTCGTTGGGCACGCTGACGCCAGGGACGGTCTCCGTGTCCGGACGTCCCACCGCCGCGCAAAACGCCTGGACATAATCCAACCACAGATTACAGGACTTACAGTGTATACGAGGGAACACGATACATTGCACGTTTCATGTACAACTCTCGACATAACAGGAGCCTCCCGCAGTTCACGGTTCACCCACCAGTTCCCCATTGTCGTTGGCGCTTGCTGGCTCCGGGCGCTCCTGTACAGGCTGTATTGGGTCTCTCTCTTGGTTCTGTTCAGGCGACAGACTACCGTCACTGCCCGAGCAGTGCTGGCTCTCCGAAGACCGTCGGGGTTGATTGGGCACAGGCCAAGGCATCTCGCAGGGCCAACGAAGAAAAGTGCACACGTAAATGACGAAAAGTTACAACAACACAACAGAAAACTTGAGTGAATGTCAGACTCATTACAGCGTTGCGATAATGGAGTCCGTTACTCGGTTACTGTGAGATTTTCGCTTTCGAACTTCGCAGTTCGCACTCACAGCATGCTTCTTCTCGTTTCTTGATCGTTCTGTGGCCATCTGTGCAGATGAGTGAGTCAACTTGACTCAGTCAAGTAGGTGCGCCCTGGCTATACCGTGCCCGCGTGGTAGGGCTCCCGGCCAGCCGCCTACGGCTTGCAGTCACAGCGCAGGCTTACTTTTTTCTCTTGTCAAGCAAGTGTCAACTTTTCTTTATTGGGCAAAAGCAACCATGGCCACCAACATAACAAAAAGTGCATACGCGAAATACAACGCAACTTGTGCTTGCTGTTTTATTTTTTTAATCTTTAAAAATTTATTATCTGCCGTTATGCTAGCAGTTGTTTAGTAGCTCCAGTGGATAGCGCCCTGCTTATTTGCTCCATAAAAAGCCGGCTTGTGGTGTTACTGCATCCTCAGGCGGCAGTCAACCGTGTGCGAGATTGGACTGTGAGTGCGAAATACAATCCCCGAAGCTTTCTCTGTTTTGCAGCTGTTGTTATTGTACTTTTTTAACTTTACTGGCGCTCTTTTCTTCGTTGGTCCTGCCTCTTCGATGCCTTGGCCGGCGCCCTACCAACCGCGACGGTCTTCGGAGAGCCAGCACTGCTCGGGCAGTGGCGGTAGCATGTCGCCTGAAAAGACTCCAGAGAGGGACCCAGTACAGTCTGTAGAGAAGCACCAGCAACCAGCAAGCGCCAACGAAAAGGGAGAACTGGTGAGTGAGCTGCGATAAGTTCCCCTACCGAGCGAACGTTGTGCTGCAGCAGAGCACTGTTGAAATATGTGGTATTTCTCAATATCTCAGTAGCGTGGAAAATCTGTCGGTGAAATTACAGTTGAGTGCAGTATTATAAAGTATGTCTGCTGCTGAGTATTGCTGCATTGCTGTATCAAACTTTTGGTAAATATGAGGCATCTTGCGTCAGAAAGTGGCTGGCTGGCATACAGAGTGGTCAACTGCGAACGAAGAATTCGCTTTTAGATCGTTACGTCGCAAGAAACTTCCGCTCCAGGCCTTAACCTTTGGCGAATACTACATGTCTCCTGTATACTGCAGTTAGCATTAAATTTTTATGTTACTACTTTTTGACCAGACTCGCTTTGGGGTTGTCTGCTTATGTAATATTGATGATATTATTATATTAATGGTAATAATCTAATATGCAGGAGTTTTGTGAGGCGGTGGGGCGTCCGGACCGGGAGGTTGTGCATGGCAGGGGCGTTTCCAACGAGATGGTTGTGCGGGTGTCCCAGCGCGCCACGCATGTGTTGATGAGGGGGACAATTCGGGTTAGTCGTCTGCCTCGCGCTTGGTTGTAGTGCTCCTAAATTCTTCCGTCTCTAGTCACTGGTCGATCCCCTGCGCTGCCCCTTCGGGCTGAAAGAGGGCGCCACGGAGGCCTGCGTCGCGTTCCGCGCGGGTATACCGCAGGGGCTGAAGGCGCACTTGGAGGCCGTCCACGGTCTGCACAACGTCCAGCTGAATTTTGTCTGTCCGTGTCCGGCCGAGTTCAGCGACGACGACGCCGACTGTCCGTTCGTGCGGTTCGACCCCTTCGGCGACTTGTTGCCCAACCACATCCGCGAGCGCCATCCTATATACAAAGAGCGCATCATGCAGGCGCTGTACAAACAACGCAGCAACAAGTGTGGCGAGGTGAGCAGACACTTGTAGTCATCGCCGCTGCTTCAGCATTTGCAGCGTCAATGGCGTTATTTTTGCAGAAGTACCGGGAGTTCCTGCGGACAGCCAAGAGCGAGACCTTCCCGGAGGGGACCAGTAATTGCAGTATCCTGTGGCCCAGCCAGATCATCGCCGACCGGATCGTCATCCCCACCCGCGTTGATAAGGTCGGTGCACTTATTGAGTTCGTCAGCAAGTGCATGAAAATGGCATGAAAATGGAAATTGTTGTGCAGAATGGTCAAGTGAAGTATGTGTGCAAAATCGACGCGTGTGCACTTGCCGTCAGTGAAGACGGCCCGGGCCGGCTGCTGGAGTCGTCGCACTGGATGCACGCGCATCTGATAATGCAGCATCAGCAGCGTTGCGCGCCGCTGCCCACCCAAGTGTACCACGCCTGCGCCGACGCGGTACGTGTCAATTTGCGCTAGAGCCTCAGCGGCTGGTTGAGCCTGTCTGTTTTGCTTTGTTTGTCGGCAGGAGTGCCCGGTCCAGGTGTTTTCGCTGTACGACATGATGGACAGCCACATCAAGGCCGTGCATCCGCAGCTGCTGGGTATAGTGTACTCGGAGAACGCCCTGCAGGTTGGTCATTTTGGTAATGGACAGTTTTGCCGTGGTAGGACTGAGCCGTCTGGTTGTTAGGAGCGGGCCAAGCTGGAAGGGTTCGTGACGGGACAGTGCACCGGGGAGGCGCTGAACACTAGCGTCGACAGCGAGGACTCGGAGGACAGCTATCTCTACAACTACACCTGTCCCGTCCAGGTAAGCAAGAAAGAGCCTTTTCATGCACGGAATTAAATCAATTGCTGGCGCTCATCGGACCCGCGTGATTGTCACGGCAGGGCTGTCTGGTCAGTCATTCCGAGCGCGACTACATGCTGTGGCACATCGGCGCCGATCACGAGAAAGACTGGAATACACTTCAACTGGTGAATGATCAGTAACGACACCCGTGGGAGGCCGCACAATGGCGCTATCTGTCCAGGCCAAGGCCAATCGAGTTTCCCCCTGTCGATCCTCAGTTTCTCGCTGACATGCTGATGCACGATCCATTTTTACGCACTGGACTGCCTTTTGCTGATTGGTTTGTGCAATTTTTCTTAGGACTTTTTCTGTGCTCCGTTATGTCGTTGTATGTCCATTTTTAGTCGAGCTGTTCGTTTCTTTCAGACGTTGCTCCGACGGGTCAAAAATTCGCTGTACTTGAATGCAAACTGATGTTACTTTAACTGGCAACCACCATAAAACACACCATTTCTCAGTTTAAATGTAGACATTTAAAAACTATTTCTTGCTGGTTGGCTCAATGTCGTACAAATGTAGCACACCATTAAATTTTGTTCTGTGCAGAAAGAAAATTCCGTTGAGCTTTACAGTTAGCATCTGGGTTTATTGCGCATCCACGATTACGTACTGTAGCAAAACCTTTGGTATCATCCCATTTCGCCAACGGGACATTTCGCCAACCGGGTGATTTGCTCCCGTTTACTGAACTACAGTACTTTGCTATAAGACATCGTATATATGCCATTGGCATTAATGCACACGGCTCAACGCTGCAATGACGTACAGATTCTACATCTTATAATGTGATTCGAAACTGAGCGGCACATGAACAATTGCTGATGTAAATGAGTTCGATTCGAAATCATTACTCAGTCATATGCATATTATGAGCAAGGCTGATTAAGCGTAAAATCGAACCCTCAGTGCCACTTCTTATATGCGCACAGAAAAAGCCGTTGGATAATCTTAAATTTCGTATTAACCACAATTTTCCAGGTTTTTTTGTCTACGTATTTACATAGCAGGGCACAGATAATTAACTGCCTAGTTAATTATGACGGAAATAACGTTTTCTTTTACCAACCGCAAAGGCAAAGTGTTAAATTACAAAGTTATGAGTATATCGAATTCTGGAAACGCGCAGAAGACAGAACGGAGAATTGTCAGAACTGGCGTTGCCGAGAAAGGCCCACTGCAGTGCTCGTTTATATTATGCCGATGGCGCAGCTGTTGAGCGCGGCCAGCATTCTCATGCCCCGGATGTCATAAAGGTTACTGCGAAATCAGCCAGACAGGCGTTAAAGGTTCGTGCAACCAATACAGTGGAGCGACCACGGCAGATTATTGATGAAGTTCGCGCCGGGATGCCTGTATATGCTGCAGTAAAAATGTCTTCTTACAACGCTCTTGCCAAAACCATTGGACGCCAAAGAAAAGCGGAAGGTATCCCTACCGGCCGTGTAACTTGCTTGGCGGATATCGATGGCAGTTATTTTCTGAAAGAAACAACGCGCAATGAATCCGTGCTAACTGCCGATACTGGTGCAGAAGACATTCATCGGATTATTGTGTTCGGAGATCCGAAATGCTTCGATTATCTGGAGAGAACAAATGTTTGGCTGAGCGATGGCACCTTCAGCGTCAGCCCGCCTGTTTTCACGCAGTTGTACACGGTGCATGCTGATGTTTGTGGTGCAACGGCTCCGCTTATTTATGCGTTGTTGCCAAATAAATGTGAGCTCACTTATCGACGCTTTTCACAATTATCCGTGACGCACTGATGCAGAAAAGTGGATCTGAAGAAGTCGGACCCGAACACATGTTGATGGATTTCGAACAGTCGGCTGTGATTGCGTTCCGAAATGTTTTTACCACGTCAAAATTAAGAGGTGAAATTAACATAATATTTTTATTAATGGAATAAATTGTAATTTTTTATGCAGTTTAAGTAAATATTAAAACATGAAATATTCAGGTTCTCTGTACGTACTTAATTTTCTTGAATTTTGTTGTTTTGCAACAGCTGTTATTATTTGTGCTAATTGTAATTTTTGTTTTTATGATTACAGATTTTTAGTCAGTAATTATAATTATTTTAGATCGTTCTTATTTAGTTGTTATTGAGTGGCATTAATTAATACTAATTTGTTCCCGCACTTATGTCACGATTTTCAAAGGTTATACGCCGTTGCTAGTTACTACTGCTGTTAGTGAAAGCAGAAATACTATTAGCATTCATTGATGATTAATAATTCTTGTCACTTAATCTTGATTATTAACTATTATTAATTTTTTTTTGCAGATATAAAAATTTTGCAAATAATTAATTTACAGGCTGCAACTTCCACTTCGGACAAAGCCTGTACCGGAAACTCGTTGCCCTGGGACACGGGCCTATTTATGCGAACAATGCAGAGTTCAACATTTCCTGTCGCATGCTTTTTGCCCTCGCGTTCGTGCCGGTACAGGATGTAGAACGAGCGCTTATTGAACTCCTGGACGCGCCATTTTTTCCGTTCAAACACAACGATGTGTTAATCGAGTACTTGAAAACAACATACGTCGGCGAAACAACAACTATGTTTCGAGTAACCGGTTGTCGCATTAAAAGGCCTCTGTATCCTGTTGAATTTTGGAGCTGTGTGGATAGACTTGAGTAGGGATATTCACCGTACGACCAATCGCCTAGAAGCTTGGCATCGCACGTTTTCTGATGTCGTTAATAAAGACCATCCCGGCATTTATCAATTTTTCAACCTACTGTGTCGGGAAATTGTTCACCAGCAAACAGAGGCAGCTTCACGCATGGCAGGTGAAATTCTAAACAAAGGAAGCAATACCTGGAGGTCACCAAGCGGCTAAAAAACGTTGCATCCAACTACGGGCAAATCGATACGATCAGCTATTTGAGATCGGTTGCCATTAATCTCGAAATCATGTTGTAAGGTTTTCATGGTCAAACTGCAGCGTAGCAGCTTGTCTTATAATTCGGACTTCATATATATTTTGAGTTTTGCATTTCCGCCGAATTTAGTGTTAGAAGTAATCGCTTTTCGATACGTTCCTGCTAATATATTTTGAGTTTTGCATTTCAGCCGCATTTGGTGTTAGAAGTACATGTAATCGCCTTTCGATACGTTCCTGCTAATTATTTTACCTTGCATGGCACACTGTCAGTTATGGTGTAAATGGGAAAATATTTGTAAATAGTTTTTGTTCTTGTTGTAATACTACAACGTGTGAATGTGCTGCAGTACGTATGTATTTATTGTACATTTAAAATAAAAATGCATGTAAAATGTGCTGCTTTGGCCAGCCAAGAGTGCCATATGCCAATTGTCCTGTAGACTAAGGCGCTAAACGTAAAGTACTGTAGGCTAAATATCCTGTAGGCTGTTGGCGAAATGTCTGGTTGGCGAAATGTCCGGTTGGCGAAATGTCCGGTTGGCGAAATGGGTGGTAGCCAAACCTTTTCCGCTCCAACTGATAAAGTGACAGCTGACTAAGTTGTGCCGAACAAAGCAATCGAATTAATCGAAACTCGTACTTCGAAGTACACTTATTTACATTGATTTTGTTTAGACCAGACTCCACTGCTCGTTTTACCGTAACAAGGATTTGTATGGACAAAACTGATTCCTCCCCGGTGTGGTGTAAAGGTAAGAGGTACCGAGGGTGGGTGGGTCGGGCCGTCGGGGTGAAATTAAGGAGAGTGGCGTAACGGTTAAAAATGCTGCACCGAATTCTTCAACATACTACAAACAGCATACTGAATACCATGGACGGATCGAGCTTCCGACTCCATTGGAAAAAAAATTTTAGAGTAAATCTGATTACAGATTCAGAATCAGTGAATTTTGCTGATCTAGAAAATTATTGGAGAAACCCAAAAAAACCAGTGGTTGTCTTCCCCCTATTTCAGGTACCTCGCTACCCCTTCACGTGGCGGTTGCCCTGTCGCGGAGGGGGTGACTTGTTTTTGAAAGGGGAAGGTGTCGTTTTGGTTTCTTTACAAAACTGATCCCAGATCCGGAATCAGAGCATTTTCCTGTATAGAAACGTATTCCGATCTTCGAAAAAAATTGGTCGCCCCCAAGGGTCATACATGACCGCCACCTTGGGCGGTCGCGATATTCTCAACAAAGAAATACGTAGTTTCCACTTTCAGAATTGTTTTTCGGCTAAATCGAGTGCGCGGATTCCGATTCTGTTCTAAAAAAAAATTATGAATGTGCTCTGTCAACGAATTTGGGCACTTGGCGCCCCTCGGGGGCGTCAAATTTTTTGTCGAAAATGGGGCTATGTTTCTATGACAGAAAAATGCGCTGATGCCGAATCTGAGATTACTTACTTTTTTAAAGAAACCAAAACGACACCTTCCCCTTTCAAAAACAAGTAACCCCCTCCGCGACATGGCAACCGCCACGTGATGGGGTAGCGAGGTACCTGCAAAAGGGGGAAGAGACCCAATGGTTTTTTTGGGTTTCTCCAATAATTTTCTAGATCAAAAAAATTCGCTGATTCTGAATCTGTAATCAGATTTACTCTAAAACCTTTTCTCCAATGGAATCGGAAGCTCGATCCGTCCATGCTGAATACGAGTAGATATTGTAGCGATAGTATTTGTACGAACGATAAGACCACCCAGCAAGGATTCATCAATGCGTTATGAATTTCTGTCCATTTCACCGGCTAGCTGTTCTTCTTCACCATTTCTAGAATTCAGTCTTGCATTCGCTTGCTACAGCTTGCATCGGCTTGTTCCGCTTGTTAAACTCTTGCCCCAAACTTGATCCCTGTTTTGCATTGCTCTTGTCATTAAACATGCCGTGAACTTCCGTTGTTACGTTCAGTAATTGTGTTACGTCAGTAAGAGCGTCTTCGACCAGCATCGTTGCCGGCCGTGCCAACCTTTCATCCCAACAGCCCACACAACTTCGTGGTACGGTCAACGCGCCAACCCACTGGACCAGCAGCCAGATCGGCTACTTTTACAATATTGTTGCGGTAGTATTAGTACGACCGATAAGACCACCGGACACCACCCACCACCCAGTTATAATTCATCCCTCCATCACGCTATGGATTCATGTTCATTTTACCGGCTAGTCCTTTTTGTTGCAGAAACACGGAGTACATACGCATGGCGCGCAGCCAGACTTTCCCGGAGGAGACGAGCGATCTGAGTGTGCTGTGGCCCAGCCGGTTGATAACCCGACAAGATTCCACTTTGTCAGCCTGTACATCTTTTGTGACGGAACTCGCGCCGGTCATTGGTTACATGTGGAACATAAGCTGAAATGCACGACTAAGCACTAATATCCCACCATGATGCAGAGTGGCGACTCTTCAAAACAAATTCGATTTACCTCGTACGGATCCTAGCTATGATCATTCAGCATCCTGCTGTAAAAAAGCATGCGGAACCTATTAATAAGGAGAAGCTTAGGAAATTGATAACGGGATGAATCATGTTTGGGTACTCAGTGGGTAGTAGTTGCCAGCGGGTGACCGGTCTTATGGGTCGCACAAATACCAAAAGAGCTAGAGGAGTTCCTGGTTAAGTTTATTGTCAACTTGCACAAGCCGATGCCATTTACATTCAAACTTTAAAAACCCAAATAATTAGAACAAGTAAAATAACTCTTCTAACTCTCGAAAACACCCGACCGTCCCCAGGACAGAATCCGCTAGAGAAGTTGTTTTATTTGTTCTAGCTTTTGGCTACTTGAGTCTAAGTTTTTAATGGGCATTTGCTTGTACGAGTTTAAAATAAAATGTGCATACAATCAAAAAAATACCGTACTATCGCCACTACACCTACAAGAATGCTGGTTGTGCACCTTTTTTTACCCGTTGCGCCACTTTCCTTCCACGGGACACACTGATCTGACCTTAACACCACACCGGGAATAGCTCGCTTTTGTGAATACAGAACCTCATTGCGGCTTACGAGCAGCAAAGTCCGGTCGAACCAAAAGTAATATACTGATCAAGTGCATCAATTCCCTTTTGTTCTGACAATTTAGTCAGGATTCCCGCTTTTTCGGCTGCAGCGAAAATGGATTTGAGACAGTAATAATACCGTGGTTGCGGAATAAACCCACCTGCTGAACTCATTAATAACTTGCTCCATGGAATTATCTTTCTGCATAGAAGAAATCCTTCCGCTTTCGTATAACAATCAACTAAGCCAGTAAGCTTTTTTAACTGTCAATTTTAACTGAGAAATGGTATGCCTGGGCTTGCGTTTTGTACTATTAAATATTTTTATGGCTTTTGCCATAACTAACATCAGTTTTGTCTCAAGAAAAGCGAATATTCATTCGACCAGTCTGAGCAGCGTCAGTCTAAAAAAAGCGAAAAGCTCGACAAATTACAACGACATAACGGACCACAGAAAACGTACGGAAAAACTCAGCCAAGGAAAAGGCCGTCCACGCTCCATTCCGTGCGTGAGAAAGGAGCCTGCATTAGTCTGTGAGCGAGAAATCGAGAATCGCTGTTGGCATGGACAAACAAGCCTTCCGCGGGTGTCGTCACTGAACATTCACCGCTTGAACATTCCAGTCATTTTCGTGGTCGGCGCCGATGTGCCATAGCATGTAGTCGCGCGGAGTGACTGACCAGACAGCCCTGCCAGCAGCCATCACGCGGAGTCAGACAAGCGCCAGCAACAACAACATGAATGTGCTCTTGCGTACCTGGACGGGACAGGTGTAGTTGTAGAGATAACTGTCCTCCGATTCCTCGAAGTCGGCGCTTGTGTTCAGCGCCTCGCCGATGCACTGGCCCGTCACGAGAGCTTCCAGCTTGGCCCGCTCCTAACCAGCAGACGGCTCAGTCACACCACGCACAAAATTGTCCATTGCCCAAGCGACCAACCTGCAGGGCGTTCTCCTTGTACGCCTGGCCTAACAGGTGCGGATGCGCGCATCCATCATGTCGTCAGGGTCGAACAGCTGCACCGGGCAGTCCTGCACAGACAGCAACACACTCACAGTCCTGCGCTGTTCCCACAGCTCCAACAGGACAATAATGTTTATGCGAAGGCACGTACCGGGTCGGCGCAGGCGTGGTACACTTGGGTGGGCAGCGCGGCGCACCGCCGGCGGTGCTGCGTCATCAAGTGCTCGAACATGCGGCAGGAGGAAGCGATTTGATTGCCTTCTTCCCTGGCTGCACACGCGTCGATCTTGCAGATGTACAGCACTTGCCCATTCTGCACAATATGCGGATGACAATGAATATTCTGCTTTTGCTGCAATTTGTGACGAACTGGAACAACGCGCACAGACCTTATCAACACGGGTGGGGATGACGATCCTGTCGGCGATGATCTGGCTGGGCCACAGGATGCGCAAATTACTCGTCCCCTCCGGGAAGGTCTCGCTTCTGGCCGTGCGCAGAAACTCCCGGTACTTCTGCACACACAGCCAGATTTACGCTGTAAATGCTGATCAACCAGACACTGTGAATCTGTGATATAGAATGGACGACAAAAATTAGTTAAACTCCGGCCCGTTAGCCGCTGTCGGCTTACAGCGCATACGATGAATGAGCGCCGCATAACCCTCGCTATAACCGCTTACTGAGCAGTAAGCGCGGCAACCGTGCTCTCCCTGTTCTCTGTCTAAAGCTACAGCTCCAAAACCGGTTCCGGGGTAAAGTAAATTTTGTCGTTCATTGTAGCTCACCTCGCCACACTTCTTGCTACGTTGTTTGTACAGCGCCTCCATGATGCGCTCCTTGTATACGGGGTGGTGTTTGCGGATGTGATCATGCAAAATGCAGCCGGAGGGGTCGAACTGCACGAACGGACAGTCGGCGCCGTCGTTGAACTCGGCCGGGCACGGACAGGCTAGGTTCAGCTGCACGTTGTGCAGGCCGTGGACGCCTTCCAAATGCGCTTTCAGGCCTTGCGGCATGCCCGCGCGGAATTTAACACAGGCCTCCGCGGCGCCCTCTTCCAGTCCGAACGGACAGCGCAGGGGATCGTCCAGTGCCTAGAACAGAGCGGAAGGCGCTAGGGGGCATTACGAACCAGTGCGTGCCTGCGTGGCAGTCAACGCACCCCAGTTGTGCCCCTCATCAACACATGCGTGGCGCGTTTGGAGACCCGCACAAGCAGCTCGTTGGAAACGCCCTTGCCCGGGACAACCTCCCGGTCCGGTCGCCCCACCGCCTCACAAAACTCCTGCAAGGTGCTATCTGTTAGGCAGAATTATAAATAACGGAAATTTAAGGGAAGTGGGCCGGTACATGGTACCAAATTCGTGTACATGCACGAAGACTTACACTTTCGCGCACTCCCACACACATTTTTGTTTCGGTTTATGACGTTTTGTAGCCAGAAGATTTGTACACACTGGCGTGAAAACCGTTTGTGCGCGCAACATCCGGTTCGGGAGTTATGACTGTTACAAAATTCCAAAAAGTTTAAATGCGTTCAGGTGTACCAAAAGTCTCAATATGGACCGATCTCCCTCAAAATTTGCACGTAAATGCGCATGTCCATGAATATCGTTTTTACACCGATCCAGACTTCCTGATTTTTTTCAAATTTTAAAATGAATTTCAAAATTTTTGAAATTCATTTTAAAATTTGAAAAACATGCTAAAACAGTGGATACACGAATTTGGCACCATGTACCGGGCCACTTCCCTTAAGAGAAACATCTATCGGTAAAGCAGTCCAGCCAACGAAGAAGTACTGATTCGGTGCTATACTCTGTATCACTGTGCAGGATCAGGAAACTTGAGTAACCCACTCATCAGTTCATCGTCTTCGTTGGCGCTGGGGCCAAGCCCCGCTGGCTCCTGGCGTTCTTGTACAGGCTGTACTGGGTCGATCGTTTCTCCGGGCGAAAGACTAGTGTTACTCGCGGAGCCACAGTCGCTCTCCGAAGACCCTCGGGGTCTGCTGGATGCGGGCCAAAACATCTTGAAGAGCCAAACTGCTCAAGTATAACACCAACAGAAAGAAAGTGCAACTACACACGCAAAGTGAGAAGAATTACTGTACCCCAAACAAAACACAGTACTAATGATAAGAAACTCTGAAACTTTAATGAAAAGAGCGAGTAGCGGAGTCAGAGTGCTCGTTCAGTCGACAACTCCACCGTCGGCGATCTGTGGCTGTGAGTCAAGTAGATGGGCCCCCGGGCGCGCAGTGTCCGCAAGGAACCGCAAACGCTGCCAGCCGCCCACGGCTGCACTCACAGCGCATGTTTGCTGTTTAAGCAGAACAACATAAGGGGTGTCAGTACGAGTACTGTACGTAAATGTAAGTAATTTGCAGTTTTGGCCATAGTTTTCGACAGCAGAAGTACCGGAATGCACCTTTCCGGCATCTAATTCAACAGTAGCTGATTCAAAGCAACTTAATAAAAAGTGTTTGCGGTGTTTCTGCAAAGTGTTAAGCATTCTAGTTAAGAAATGCTGTATTTCTGTCGTTCTTTATTGACGGTGTGATCAATTGTTATCTTATACCAAGTGCACACTTCTTTGCTGACTTGTGAGAACAGCTGCTAGACTGAACTGTTAGAATTTTTCAGATCGGCTAATAGTATTAAATTGGATTAAATTGATCCCATTGGCAACTACAATCAACACGTTAATTTTTATCGACTGAACACTGTTGCACAAAACAAGCAAGACAATCGCACTTGGTAGTGAACTGAATGGTCATCATTTTTTTAAAGTAATTATCAAAACCCTTAACCCTCAAGCAGTGCTGATTTTCGTACTTTAAGATTGCGGAGGACATAGACCTTATTACCTGATCATGAGACTGCATTGATATTTCCAGATTTACTGAATGTAATTAGTATTATCGTCGAATGATTACGGTGCAGCTATTATTGTGTATTTTCCAATAGGTCATCAGTCCCATAAAATTAAAGCTAATAGAATTACATACTAGTACTGCATCCTGAACAACTGCATCCTGAGAAACATACGCAACTTACGGGATGTGTCTAATTAAATAAAAAAATTAATAATAAGTTTATAGTCATTTTTTCCCGGGTAAAAGTACATATTTGTACTAGCACAGAAAAGTCTGGGAAAGAATAAATATGGCGGTTAACCGACAAATTTGTGTTTTACAGGACAAAAAACGCTCTCCCGATTTAAGGGGGTATTGTGACTGACACGTATCGTCTCACCCAACTTACGAAAAAAAAGCGCTCGAAAAGTTATTAATGACACACAAACTTTTAATAGGGATATATATGTAGATCAGTAGATTCTTAATAGAAATATGCAGCCTTAAAAAGTGTACGAGCAAGATTAATTAAAACACGACATTGTTTCCGTCAAAATTTGCAGTTGGAGCTCGGTGTCCAGTTGCGATAATTATTAGTTCGACAAATCCGGGGTGACTGAGTGCTTTCTGTTAAGGAAGAACAGGATTTGTTCTTTGTCTTGCCATCTCTTATTTCCCCTCGGTTCGTTTTTTCACGCTCCAGTGTTGCAGCGTCGTCCATGCACCCTCGTACAGCCGATTTGAATTCCCAGGACTAGGGAGCCCCATGTTGAGTAACTTAGAACCACGCGCAAGGCAAGTTCTTAACGGTGTATGAAATAAGAGGCTCATGAAATAATAATGTACAGTAAAATGTCTGGACAACCGGGATTCACGCAACCCCCCGTAAACAGATATTATACGAGAGTATTTATTCAGCGATATTGTGGTAAATACAGCGCACGCTGTATCTACACACAATGTGGTTATGTAAGACCCAGCGTGGTCATGCCTTGTCATCAGCATTATTTACGGTGTATTGTTCCAGAAGTAGCGCTACTTCCTGGTGTGTTTGCCGGAGGTGTTTGTTTCGTGCCGCGTTGGTTGTATAATTATAACCAACGCGGCTGATATGTATGTAGGTAGTAAAGAGAAGATCTGATAGTGTGAATAAATGCGCCTATTAAAGCTCAGTTTCCGTCTAGCTATGTAGTACGTCACTAGTACCGTATGTACTGTAACGCGATTCATATTATTATGTCTGTGACTCTTGCCTTTGGCCATTCCGTTGAGCTGAATGTCTAGTTCTTGAACCTACATGCTAGTCTGTTGATATTAATTTATGTCTAGCTACGGAAGTCACAGTATGTTACGTGATAGACAATCATCATGACAGTAGTCATCTACAATCATAATGTAATCATCATACCGTCATCTAACTGGTCGATCGAGTCCTAATCATTGTACCAGCACGGTTAGCTACACTGAAACCCTTCGTTACCGTATACAGTACGTATATATGTGGCAGGTCGACCACAATAATATTACGCAAAGTCAGACATCTGTCTCTGTTGGCTGGTAACGGCCAGTGCAGCGCAGTGAGCGCACTATGGTGCATACGTTATGATTCATAGAGATAAGAACGGGTATGTTGAACAACGAATCTGTGCAGTGCGGTATCTTGAATACGTGCGGTATGGTTGTTTTGACCATTCGGAGCGTAGATAAGCTCCGGATCGTGATGACATCATGACACACGTTACCCGTCGGCCGTCGTTATCTACTGCGCATTATGCACAAAAAACCTACATAGGCGTTGGAAGATGCCCGAATGTCTGAGTCTTCCCATTGTTTGTAATAAATCCTGTATACGTGCACAGTAATTCTGGAAATTGTATGCGTGGCTTGCACTCAGAAATGCCGTGGAAAGCATCTCAGTGTGAGAGTAAACGCAATGCAGATGGAGAGGACGGGCGGGAAATCAGCGGTTGCGGCTGCTTACCCCTCGTGGGTTGCTTCTCCCGGCAGAGTAGTGCGCGACGCACTCCACGGCCAAGGGGAAAAGGAAAACTGGGCGTGCAGCAGCCGCGATGCGCCGCTGGTGGGGCCATTAACATCTACCAAGCGGTGGCGGAAGCCGAGTCGCCTAACGGCAGCAGCAATCTCATCGTGTGTTCCTACTCCATCCAGCACATTCTGCTGGCCCTGCTGCTGGGCGCCCGCGATCCCCTACGCGGCGATCTCCTGGCGCTGCTGTGCCCCGACGGGCGCAGTATCGATGACGTCAGCGCGGCGTTATCCTGCATCGCCAGTGACGCGGCGTTCCAGCAAGTCAACGCGGTCTTGTACAGTCAACTCTTCACGCTGAGACAGTCGTTCCAAGACGCCATGCTCAACAAATCCGATGTGGTGTTTGTGCCTGTGGATTTTCACAACACAGCTGCCGCCCGGGCGGCGTACGCGGAGTTTTTGAAAACGTATGCCAGCCGCGATATGGCCGACCGCCTGCCGGTGGGCGACATGCGCAGCGTTCTGGAAAATCGTCTAACCAGTTTGGTGCTGATTAATTTGCTGACCTTCTCCGCGCCGTGGGCGATTCCGTTTAATGAAGAATACACCCGCGACGACATGTTTATCTGCCTGGACGGCAGTCTGAAGAGGGTCCCGTTTATGGTGTCCATGAGCACGACGTGCGCGTCGTTTAACGTCAAGAAGAAGACCGCCGCGACAGATCCGCAGATGGTGATTATGGCGGCCGGCGACAAGCGGTACAGCGTCATGTGTATTCTACCGGCGGCCGCGGGCGGGGAGGCACTGCGGCAGCTGGAGAGGAGTCTCACGGCGGAGATTCTCCGCGGCTGGCGCAAGCAGAGCGGGCGCTATAAAATAACGCTGTCCGTGCCGAAATTGCGGGTTAAATGCCAGCTGGAGCTGGAGCGCGGCATGAAGGCGCTGGGGCTGGCTGAGCTATACTCGCACCGCACCGCCACCGGCTTCTCCGACATGTTCCAGGAGTGTCCGCCGCAGGTTGCTATCGCGTTCCAGCACAACGTGGTGTTCGGTGAGTAGTGTGAGCGTTGTGCGGGTGCCGTGGTTGTTTAGTTATAAGACTATGGATCTACCGCCAGTATCCGTAGAACGCCCCATTAACGGAGAGATTTTAGCACGTTGAAACATTACTTGGATTTACTTTGCCAGAAGTATGTGTGTGTCTCTCCGTAGAAATGGACGAGCGCGTCCGGTCGAGCGTGGCCACCGTGGCCGCGGACCTGTGGCAAATTGCGGCCGCACCGGAATCCGGGTGGCGGACACCCGGGTATCCGAGTGGGACCCGTCTGTCGCCGCCACTGGTGGGCAGTGCCACGCCCAGCCCGTCATTATTATTAGAATTGCTATTAGAACATTGCTATGAACATGCTATGAAGCATTGTTATTAGAACGAATCAATTTAAATTTCAAGCGTATAAATAAGAGAGTAGGACAGTCTGCATCGCATCAGTATAATTCTAATTTATTCACTTCATTGTACTATGAGTAGTACCTGATTGGTGTCCGTTGGTTGTGCGATAGCCCAGGCATCGCCCAGTTGTTTTGTTAATGGCACCGGAAATACAAATTTTCAATCTGCCGTGGAAACCGGGTGGGTGTCCGCCACCCGGCCTATATCAGATCAATTTATGATCATGCATCAACGGGTCCCACTCGGATACCCGGGTGTCCGCCACCCGGCCTTCCTCCCAATTAACAAATCCCACAGCTACATCTCAGCCACTCTGCGACCAAAGGAACTACGAATCAGATGCCCTGTGATTCCCGACAGGCGGAGGTGTCAGTCAGACGAACAGACGTGCACGTGTACTGGAAGGATCCCCACCAGCCCAACGGCGTCATCGTCACCGTCGAGATCGAGTACCATCTCGTCGACAAAGAGGTACCTCTCACCGACAACATTGCTATTAGGCAGTCATTCATACACTTTATTCACCCGAAAATTCACCGATTTTTCGTGATTTTAATAAATTTAATGATTTCAGTTTTTTTCGGTTCACTCATTTTTACTTATTATGTAACTGAAATTATTTGATAATACTGGATTTGATAATTATTGATACTTATAAATAGAAAATACTGATAATACTTTAAATCTAAAAAAAATCTCTAATAGTTAGAATATTGACGAATATTTGTGGCCCATGTGTATTCTTGCACGGTGTCGAGAGTGTCGTAGTGAAGTGGCGCACATGTGTGGGACTATCACAATCAACTAATCTGCTCCTACGTAATGCCAGTTCACTGTAGCCGAAATAAATTTTTTTATTTAACGTATGCAGGTGCAAAATCATTTGATTCCAGCCAACCTGGTTCAGATTTTATTGTATCATTTATTTGAATTTATTTGTTTCTTGCCGACATAACGAGTTTTGTCAAGCTGACCGCCTGACCCACCGGGTTCGGGTCACCTACTGGGACACTGCATTGCACTTGAACGTTGAGAGCTTTGATGTGGGGCTGCAAACAGGCGCCGGGATTCCGATGTGTCTTCCATGTGGAAGCCGAGAGCGGAGAGACCTGTGACCGTATCGCCTTGAATCGCGGTGTGAGCCAAAGCGACATAAGAAAATGGAATACTGACGGTCGCCTAAGAATGGGTGATGCAGTTTGCGTTAACGCTGTGCAAACAGGAGCGACCGGAAGTGATGCCAGTCGAAGAAATTCCAACCAAGATTCACAGCGACACCGCGGACGGGAACGATCGGATTCGTGCCAGAGACAAGCAACTTCAGAATAATGGGTTGGGTGTGGTAACCCATAATTTCTCCCTGATACAGAGCAAGTACGATGCTTCAACACTTGTCGGTAATTCCATGACGAAGTGATAGTGATCAACAATACAGTACCATTTTTTTATACGCAATATGTATTGCTTTGAATCTGTATTGCTGATGGTGATATCAGCATAGTTATACTTCATGGCAACGAGAACGTATAAAAAGCTCTACAGCTTAAAAAACTTATTCTGTGAACTTATTCATTCAATATTTTCTTCATTTCTTTCCACCAGAACTCGTCTTTCATGGTGCCTGCGCCGTCTGACAGGTCCTAGTCTCATAGTTATGGGCGTTACCGATATGCTGGGTGTGGCCAAGATTTTGTTTAGTGAAATGTTGTTCTAGTGTCGTGACCTGTTGGCGCTGATCTAATTTCTATTGCGCCCTTGGGTGGAAACCTTTTACGCTTTTTAGCAGTCAAGGACGTACAAATTGCCTAGCAGCTTTGATGCTCATTATACCGGTGATGGTAGGATTCATACCGGT